CTCTGTAATTATCTTGTACTTTCAAAAAATTTATAGTCTAAAAATTGCATTTTTGATGCTATCACTAGGTACATATATTTAAAAAATCAATATTCAGGTATTTTTGGTTGTACTTTTTAAAAAGAGGAACTATATTCCCCCCTTCCCTCTCTTGATATGTTGCAGTGACTGGGGTTTGCACAGATGTTTAACTGAGGTGCTCACAGATGCATGTACTTTTTTCAGTTGCATTGTTTGCACTTGTGCTCATCAGGGATCACACTCTTTATTTTTTATTTTTATTATTACTATGTTTTGGGTTTTTGGGTCACACCCCATGATACTCAGGGGTTACTCATGCCTCTGCACTTAGGAATTACTCCGGGTGATGCTCAGGGAACCATATGGGATGCTGGGGATTGAACCCCAAGGCAAACACCCAACCCAATGTACTTTAGCTCTGGCCTCGGATCACACTCTTTAGTTGTAGTGCACATACATATTGTAGTTTTATTGCTTGCCAGCAGTCACTCACTTTCACTTTAGTTGTTATGCTTACATACATGCTTGTTTATGTGTGCGTGTATGTGTGTGGGGGGCACACTTCTTGCCGTTCACCCATAATACATCTAGTTGGGATGCTTGCTAGAGATTGTACCATTTACTTTGGTGCTCACACATGCAATGAGACCAGATATTGCCATTGGTGCTGGCAGTTTCAGACAAGTTTTCAGTCCTAAAATGCAGAGTGCCAGGATCACACTTGGTGCATGTGGCACATCAGGGATCAAATAGGACGTCTCACACTAGCAAACCATTCTTTCCTGGTCCACAGTTTTTATATTTATTATATTTTTACCTCTATTATAAAAAGATAGTGGGTTCACCTATTGACTTTGACTGGATAGTGATTTTTGTTTGTTTGTTTTGACTTTGGGACCGCACCCAGTGGTGCTTGGAGGATCATGCAGTGCTGAGGATGGAACTTTTTTGCCTTTTGCATGCAAGCCCAGTGTGAAGTCTGCCAAGCTTTCTCTCTAGTCTGGTGTCAACGTGATGAATTTACTTATTTCAAAAATTGAAAAAGTAGGTCATTTCTAGGCTTTGTCTGGATAGGGCACATGCAGGGCAAATGCCCTACCTGCTATACTATTGCTTCAATGGCTATGATTGAAACATTTTATTTTACCTATTTTTATGTTTTATTTTGTCTTCTTTTCCATTACCATTTGTTGTTGCTGTTTCAGTGAATGAGAGTAGTTACACACTGGTTGTGGTGCTCACTGGTGGTGACATTCTTTTTTTTTTTTTTAGGCTTAACACATTAATAGTTGTGATGTTTATTAATGGTAATGTAGTTTAATTGTGTGTTTGCACATAGTTTTGATGTTCTCATTGTCAATTGTGATACAAGCCAGGGACTACATATTTTAGTGGCAGTGCTCACACTTAGTTAATTGCAGTGAATATGAGACTGCATATTTATTTATTTTTTTAGTGGTCAAGCAGAAGTCCAAAAGGTAATGCCACCTGAATTGTACTTGTCATGTTGGACTTTTCTGGAGATGAAACTCATGATCTCCTGCATGCAGAGCAGACACTAACACTAATCTATATCCCCAAACCCTCTTGGTCATGATTTTTAAATCTCTCTATATTATGCTGGACTTGATTGGTGATGTGTAATATTTTGACATTCACAGTCATGTAATAAATGGTATCTCATGTTTTTTATAAAATTATTTTCAGATTTGGGAATCGTTTCATAAAATGAGTTTGGAGGGTTCTTTGTTTCTTCTGCTCTATCCACTGAACTTGGTAAGGGTGTCAGAGCTCACTGGGAATGGTGTAGTTGTATTCTCTACCTGTGGGGTAGAGAAGTTTCTGAGTTAACTGTTGAAGTGAGAGAAGGTCGTTGTCCCTGTGTGAGCAGGAATAATCCTATGGGTCACAGATGGGTGCAGAGATCCAGAGACTGTAGGAATCAAATGTTTGAGGTGTAGCATCACCCTACAAGATGGGGTTTTGGTTCCCAGAGAGCCTCCCTATGAGACACTTGTATATATGCCTATGGGACTGAAGAGAAATTATGTGCATTTGTGACATGGGCTGGGCACAATCTAGTTCTTCCTAGGTTGTCAGTGATGCTGCTGTAGCCTGAATCAGGGGATAAACTGTATCCTGTGCGCACATAGTGCTGGAGAATATAGTGCAAGCCAAATAATGGAGAAAAACTTGGTGTTCCCCTGAAAACTGCTAGCAAGTCACCCATTCCTCCTATAGCGTGCCTCCAGTGCCCTCTGCTGACAAAACTCACCACAATGCCAGCTGGCACAGAAAGCATTTAAAGGGCCTGTATCCATTTTCAGAGCTCAGGCAAGGAAGGGTGAATTTGTAGCTGAATAGTAAGTAGTAAGCTGAGAGCTGATAGAATTTTGCCTTTTCTTATTTTTTTGAAGTATCTGTATCATGTGTTGACTATCCAAATTTGTGGGGTTTTTTTTTGTGTGTCTGAACTTTAACTTTATTCTGTTCCATTCACATATTTGGCTTATTTTTTTCCCCAAAACCAAACTCTTCTAATTACATTAGCTTTTATAAGAAGTGCGTCTTATTGATAGCTCTCTCATATCTCTTATATCTTGGGAAAACTTTTGAAGTTTAGAGGCTGTATAGATTAAATTGTTGTTAATTTGGGAGTTATTGGTGTTTTTACAATATTGAATCCTCATTTAAAAATTTTATTTACTTTTGTTATTTTGGGCCACACCTGGTGGTGCTCAGGGGTTTCTCCTGGCTTTGCATTCAGGAATTACTCCTCGCCAGTTCAGGGACCATATGGTCCCTTACTCACAGCACTCTCTCTCTAGCCCCTGAATCTTCATTTAAAAAATATATTATTTCTGGGGCTAGAGCTATAGCACAGTGGGTAAGGCATTTGCCTTACACATGGCTGACCCAGGTTTGATTCCCAGCATCCCATATGGTCCCCTGAGCACCTCCAAGAGTAATTCCTCAGTGCAGAGCCAGGAGTAACCCCTGTGCAATGCTGCGTGTGACCCAAAAAGCTATATATATATATATATATATATATATATATATATATAATTTCCTTAAAAATACAAAGATTTTTGGATTTCTTTGTTATATGAATCTGTGTATATGTGTGACAACTTTTTAGAATTTATGTTTCTAGATTTTTTTTTAAAAAAAGTCAATCAGCTGATCTTGATCTGAGTTTTTGTTTTCTCTTTATACCCCACAATTGAATTTTTAAAACTTTTTGAAAAATTGACAGTGTCTTATGAGGGTCTCTAGGTTTTTCAGAAACTAATTAGAATGGCACCTTCAACCTCTGTCAGTTGCAGAGAATGAAACAAACATGTAATGAGACAAACACAAGCTGTCTTAGGTTTAGGGTCCCCTGGGCAACCATAAGTGAGCACACGGGCTCACTGTTTATTCGATACAGTATCACTCCTCTCCCTTGGTTCCCAGCACATGAATTATTGTTTAAATTGACAGAGGCATTAAGAACACTTGGTAAGCACATCAAGCATCAGTGGGTCCATTAGAAGCCGAGACTGGAATAGTTCTCAAAGCCAGTCAGCAGGCACCTTAAAGTGTAAAGTCATGACAGTTTCCTGTTCTATTTTTGTCTATATTCTCCTCTACATCTAGAAAACCCTAAACCGTTTTATTCTTTTCTCTCCTGGGTCCATTTTTGCTGCCTGTTTATATTCTAAGACGAAGGCTGTTCTGCCCAGAATACTATACAGATCTTGGCTTATTTTTTTCCCAAAACCAAACTCTTATATCTCTTACATCTTAGAAAAGATATGGAGGAATGATCTTCCACAAGATTAATGATTAGGGAAATAGTCTCTAGATTTAGCTGCTTCTGTTAAAATATCAGTGCTCTGAAATACCTTAACTGTCTGCATGTTTTCTGACTAATCAGACAGTATTCATAAGTGTACCTGATTGAACTGAGTAATTAAAATAATCTGATATATCTAATGGATTGGTGTACACAGTATGTACTCAGTTACTCTCGCTGTTTTCTGTTATCATTGGCATCATATTTCTCAGTGTCATTCAAGCACTGATTTTCATACTTGTTATCCTGCTGGCTCTTTTTCTTCTCACTTTTTGTATAATGTTTTTCCTTCTAGAAGCAATCTGAAACTCACTTTAGGTTACAACCCTGCACACAGGTGACCTTATCTTTTTCCTTACCCAATTTGTAGGACTTCCTCTAACTTGCAGGTGATGTTTAAACATTTTTTTTTCTTTTTTTTATTAGTGAAAAACCATGAGGTACAGTTATAGGCTTACAAATTTTGTGCTTGGGTTTCATTTTGACCATTAATATTTCTTTTCAAAATACATTTGAAGCTGTTTGTAATTGTGTTTATTCATTAGAAGAATTTAATGATCTTATGATTGGTAATGCTTGAAACATTTAGAATGTAAGAGATGCTACATTTTTTTTTTCTTTTTGGGTCACATCTGGCGATACAAACGGGTTACTCCTGGCTCTACACTCAGGAATTACTCCTGGTGGTGCTCGGGGGACCATATGGGATGCTGGGAATTGAACCCGGGTCGGCCATATGCAAGGCAAACGCCTTAGCTGCTGTACTATCCAGCCCTGAGAAGCTATATTTTTAGTTAATTTCTTTTCTATTCTGAGAAGAATTAAAAAGAAACCTAATTTAAATATATATATATATATAGAGAGAGAGAGAGAGAGTTCCAGTTCAATCTGCTGCTGCAGCACATGACAAACATGCAAACATGCATTTTAATATTTTGCTTTTCTTACATTATATGTCCATGTAGTTGCTGATTTAACCCTTATTGTTTATGTGGGTAAGGGATTTCAAAGAAGAGTTTTCAATATTTTAATTTAATTTTATTTTTGGTTACATATTTAATGTAATATTTGTTTCAGTTACAAAACTGAGACGCAAACTTGTGATTTTCTGACTTCATTTTCTTCCTATTTAATCTTGCAGGAATCAAGAATCCTGTCTCAGTTGCAAACAGACTCTTGTGTGAAGGACAGAAAGGAAAGCTTTCGGCTGGCAGAATTCCTCCCTGGTAACCCCTTTGTTCTACCTGTTTTGCCCTGGGTCTTTGGTCTGTAGTGCATGCAGTGTCTGAAGCCTGTTTTATTCACAGAAGGTCGATGCTCTTGGTTACACACCAGCAATAGTTTACACACCTCTCAATTTGCTTTTGAGAGGAAGACATAATTTGTTCTTTGATTCCTTTGAACGTTTTGCACACTTGCTAGAGTTCAAGATGGAAAAGAAAATTATGGATTAAAGCAGAAAAAAGTTCAGAGTTAATTTTTGGTTTCATCCTTGATTATAGAAATGTTTTTTGCTGTTACTTTGTGCTAAACTGTCTATTGCAACTTTCAAAATGTTATGTGTTCAAAAAAAGTATCTAAATTATTAATTTTGAGAAACCCATATAATAAAAACACTTATTTTTTATCCTTTGAAAAAAATGCATTGAGATGTTACATCTTTTCCTTTCTAGCATGGCATATGATTCTTTATTAAAAACCTGAGATTTCCAGATATTTACAAGACCATAAAGAACATTGTAAAAACTTTCATGAATCTGTCATCAACTCTAATAAATAAGTGTATTTGCTCTTTATCACACATCTTAATTTTTTACTGGAATATATTAAAGCAAATACCTGACATTATATTTTAGCCATAGATTTGTAAATATGTTTGTAAAGCAAAACCATTCTGTTAAAATGCTTAAAATATCAACAAATACCCTTTAATACTCAATATGTGTTCACCATAACTGTCTGTGAAGGTTACATTAGTGTTCTGTGTTGAAAGTTGTGACAATAACATGTAGGAATTATTTTGTTATAATCTAATGTTATAGAAAATAAATATCTGTAGATTTGAAAACTCTTGAAATCTTTTATCCAATTATATATACATACATATATACATACTCTGAACATTCCCAGGAGTAATTCCTGAGTACAGAGCCAGGAGTAACCCCTGAGCATTGCCAGATATGACCCAAAAAGCCAAAAAAAAAATTATTCTTAACAATTGAAGTAGGAAAAGTGATAAAAATTCTTGCATATATGTATGTATATACCATACACATATATATGTATATCATCTACTTCTCATGTGTTTAGTTGTGGTACCAGAAACATCATTTATAAAATCTTTTTCAAAGACATAATTTTAAATTTTATGTGTTTTCAATAAAACAAGAATTAAAAAAATGGAAATCCGACTTCTTGACATTATTTTAAACAAAGTGTTTGGTTTGGGGCCAGAGCGATAGTGCATTCGGTAGGGCTAGCACATAACCAACCCGGGTTTGATCCCTGTTATTTTGTATGGTCCCCTGAGCACTGCCAGGAGTAATTCCAGAGTACAGAGCCAAGAGTAATTCCTGAGAATCATTTGGTGTGACCCAAAAAATAAAAAAAAATATTATTAGCAGTTAAAGTAAGAAAAGTGATAATAATTCTTACATATTATTTTCTCAAAAATTGTGTTAAACCCATGCTATTTTTAAGAACTGGTAAGAAATCTACGAACTCATGATTTCCTAAGTGTTTAGTATATTCAGAGTCTTACTATATCTACCTTTGAGGGAAGAAGGTACACAGAGTGTCTCAGGATTTATATTTTTTTAGTGTTGATGTAAACATGACTTTTCTTTCACCATATTTACTATAGAGCTGAATTAACCCTTCTTAAATCAATTTACTAGAGATGTACTTGGGGTAGAGCTAGCAGCAGGTAGGAAATTGTTTCATTTTGGTTGACAATAAAAATGACATAAACTCTAGAAAAAGATATCAACTTCATCTATAACTGTTTCGCAATTTCATTTGCATCACAACTCTTCACGACACATAACAAACTGATTGTTAAATTTATATAAAGGGAGAATAATAAATAAAAGCCAAGTCAGTTTTGAAATAGAACAAAGTTGATCTTAGCTAACAATGCCATGGTATACTACACTGTAAGGGGTAGAAAATATGATCAGAAGCACAGAACTGGAGATCTAGAAGCAGATTAGATACAAGGGAATTTTGTTGATTATACTTGTGTCCTGTCAAAGCATTGTGTGGAAAAATATGATGTATGAAATAAATTCTGTTGTGACAGTTTGACTTGGTGGAAAAAAGTTAAGTGAAGTTTCTATGTCGCACTACTTCAAAAAAAAAAAAAGCTTAGGGGTGGGGGAATGTGCTTTGGAATGTGTAGCCCATTCTGATACCGATACCCTGGACTTAATTCCTAGCTCTGCAAATAAATTAAATTAAAATTAATAAATAATGCTCAGTGAAGAAAAACCTTATGGCAGAGTTGGGGCTATGGGCTTGGGGTGGTGAATAGGTATGGTGTGATAATACTGTATCCCTAAAATTTACAAACATTTATATTCTTGTAAAGCATTATTATCTTAGGGGAAAAATGAAGTTCAGATGTGAAGGTGAAAAAGTATAAATATACACAAATTTTTTTGATAGTTTATATAGTATCTATAACTGACCTAAATCTGGCTGTAGTATCAAAACCTTACTTAAACTTATGAGAAGCTATTTCCAATCTTTATTTGTGCTAAGCTTTTTCATATCTTTTGGATTTGGAATTGAAAATAAGATGTTGAGGATGATAGAAACAATAAATAGCAGGAGCTTCCATAAATTTAGATTTATTATTAAGGATCAGATGAAGCATGCTCTCTCTCTCTGTCTCTCTCTCTCTCTCTCACAAGGCAAGCGTCTTGCATGCTGTCCTATCACTCTGTTCCCTCCCCCCATGACACTCTCTCAATGTATTTTTCTTATTCTTTCTTTAAATAGCATTTAGAATACATAATTTAGAATACATATTGTTTGTTCCCATTTTATAGATAAAATATTTTTAAAAATATGAGAGATTATGTTTATGACTGTGGGTTTTACAAAGCACAAATGAAGTTCTCGAGCCATTGTGTCAACTGAAGATACCATGATCAAATATTTAAAGACAGATGTCCTTTGAAATTGAGAAAATTACTTGCAGTATTGATAGAAACAAAAGATTAGTGTCCATAGTGCTTAGTAATTATAAAATCGTTGGACAGAAAGAGAGCACATTGGTTAGTGTGCTTCACTTGTCTGTGGTACAGCCATAAATTACTTTTGACTTTGGAAATGCTTAATAGCAGAACTGTCAGCCTTAAATGAGCAGAGCTGTTAATATAGTGCCTTGCGCATGTGATGTCACCGGGAGTTGAACTCTTAGCAGTACCTTTGCAGTGCAGGCACTTTAAGCCACAGCTTATTTCCTGACCTTTTGTGCTGAGGATTTTTAGTTGGAATCAGTGTTTATAATTTTAAATGCTCCTCTTCCATTGTTTTTAGAGATGATCTTACACTATTCCTTATGTAGTCAATTGATATGTGATTATTTAATTTTTGGCTACTTTTCAAATTCTATTCTGTGTCTAAAGAGACACTAACCTAATACAGTGTTGATTTTTTTTCATTTTTTTCTTTTGGTGCCTCTGGGGATCAAATGTAGGACTTTATGCATGCAAGATAAGTGCTCTATCACTGAATTACATACTCAGTAGTGTGTAGTTTTCTTGGGGGAGGGGAGAGTGTAATTTTAGAGAAATATGAGGAGGTATCAGGGGGTAGAGAGATAGAGGGAGAGAGACAGACATTGACATGTTCAAGAGAGAAAGGGGCTTTGTCAGAGGCGAGAGAGCTGAGAGTTCACATCTCAGCTTGAAATGCTGGTGCTTCCTCCAACTGGAGAATGCACCCAGCTGGTTGATTTTTGACTCTTAAAGCAACAATTGCATTTCTGTCGAATAAATCCCACTTGGTCATAATTATCCTTTTTATGCATTGATGGACCGGTTGCTAATATTTTGTATTTACATCAATATATGTTTGTGAGAAATACTGGTTTCTGTTCTTTCTTTGTTTTGGGGTTGCATCCAGCAGTACTCAGGGCTTACTCCTGACTCTGTGCTCCTGGATCACTTCTGGGGGCGCTCAGGGGACTATATGGGTTGTTTGAGATCAAACCTGGATCAGCCACATGCAAGACAAATGCCCTAGTTGCTGTTCTATTGCTCTGGCCCTCTAGATTTCTTATAATGTCTTTGGTTTGGGTTCATTTTACTTCTTGGATGTGTTAAATATACATTTAATTAAATTGGAAAATATTGACTTCAGATTTTTTTTTGATGTTTTCCTTTGTGTCTCCAGTTACATATATATCTGATCTCATGCCTACAGATCATTGATAATGTGTTACTTTTTTCTACTCATTGATAATTGTTTCATTTGGAATGGTCATAGATTTTTAAAAGTTTTCTGTGGACCGGAGCAATAGTACAGTGGGTAGGGCATTTGCCTTGCACACGGCTGACCCGGGTTCAATCCCTGCATTCAGTATGGTCCCTCTGAGCACTGCCAGGAGTAATTCCTGAGTGCAGAGTCAGGAATAACTCTTTGACCATCTCTGGGTGTGACCCACAAAAGCCAAATAATAATAAAAAATGAAACAAAAGGTTTTGTACTTTTCCGATATGAAAAATACACTAGATTAAGAAGTGAATTCCTTCTAGTTTATTTTTATATCTAACATTATAAGTTTTATTTTCAGAAGTTAATTTGTATATTAAGGTAGTCTTCCATGTTTTATTTTCAGAAGTTGATTTATATAATAAGGTAGTCCAAATACTTCCCCAATCAATAAAGTTATAATATAACTTATTAATTCTTTCATCTTGTCATTCGATGGAATAATTTCTATCTTTACTCAAGGTTACATTTTCATGTTTCTTTGCATGCTAGGTCATCTTTTATTGTGTTCAGGTTTTGAGAATTTTATCCTATTTTGTGCTCTATATTTTTGTATTTTGGTAAATGTTCTTTTGTTGTTGCTAATTTTGGGCTACACCTGGCAGCAGTGCTCAGGGATCATTAGTGGCTCTGCACTTAGGGATCACTCCTGGCAGGACTCTGGAACCAATGGGACAACAGGGATTGAACCTGGGTTGGCTGCATGCAGGGCAAACACCCTACC